TTCTCTGTTTCTGTTTAGATTGCATGTCCCTTGGGGCAGAGGCTGTCTGGCTTTGCCTTCCAGAGAGCCACGTGTACTATCAGCACTCAGTTAGTAGTAAATACACAGCTCCATGCTGATTCAGTATTCTAACATAGTGGCCACTTTTTATAGGAAACATCCCTGCTCGGAGAAAGAAAACTATTTTTAGTTGAAACGGAGCCTTTTTAAATGATCCCCGATGGAAAAACAACCCTTGTAAGGGTTAAATCACAGCCTGGCTGGAGTTTTTATTTCTGGGAGATGCAGTGGGAGCCAAGCAGCTTTTTAAAAGCTTCTGCCTGGTTCCTTTGGTAGAACCCCATCTTCCCCTCTGTCATACAGAGCACTTGCTATTGTGGCCCCCACAAGCCTGGAAGGATTGGTCCATCCCAAGGGAGGGAGCAAGTGTGGCAAAGCAGACAGTGCTATCGGAATAGAGTGAGGATGTGGAAAGCTGATGGTGGTTGTTCTCACCAGCAGGTTCTTTTAGGGCCATCATTACAGGGTGCAACAACAGGGGTCAAATCTCTATTGAGGGGGTGGGGGAAAACAATGGGTCTAGTTCCAGGAGGATTTCATGGCTATAAGACACTAAATTCTGCACTTCCACTCTTTTCTCTCCCTCCCGCCCTTTGTCTCAAGTATCTAGGGTTTTTCTTTTCTACTGGGCAAACGGGCAGCTGGTTATTTCCTGAGGGAGGAACGCGTGAGTTGAATGGCAGCTTGCTGGCCAAAATGACTGAACGAGCACTCGGGGGCAATGGTGCATGAAGTAGGCAATGGAGCCCAGAGAGGATGCTTTACCTTTTTGTTTTTCAAAGATATAATTTTTATAATTCCAACCACATATGGAAAGATTGCTGGGAGTGCCGGCCCACCTGTCTCAGGGTGGGTCAGGCATTCAGAGGCAGAAATAGATATGGAGCCATCCTGTTTAGGCAATTAGACACTTCCTGTGTTTTCACCACAGTAGGCATTTTAGTTTAGTTGTGATGTAGAAGGAGGGATAAAGACAAATGCGTTCCCTTTTCGAAAACGCCTGTGCTTAAAAGAGCCTTCCTCTGGGAGGCATTTATTAAATGTATTTTTATTCATCCGCTCCTCAGAGGCTTGCTTTGCTTCTGCTGATGCGCACGTCAACTCCATCCCGGAGCTGGGCGTTGGCTGCTTTGCTTGGCCCTGTTTTAGGTCCTTCACCTCTCAGCCTACATAATGGCTGTGAACCCACATTACCTGTACCCCTCTCCTCTATGGGTTTGCGCTGACATTCCCATTGTACCTCCTGAGCAGCTTATCCTGAACCTCAGTGGGTACCTGGCACTGTGCCATCTCACTTTCTCTCTTTTCAGCAGTTGATTCTATTCTGAAAGGGCAGGAAGTGCAAATGGAAAGAGCAGCTGCTCATTGGGAGGAAGGTAATGAAATGACATTTGACTCATGGTGGTTCTTTGTCACTGTCCTCTCTCTAATGTAGACACTCAGTGGCTGCAGTGTGGTGGTCTGAGGTGAAAGCTGTTGTGTAAGGGGAGAGGGGCTGGAGGGGGAAATAGAAATGAGGAGGGGCTAGCATGAGAGCTGAGCTCTTTATTTTGTGTTACAGACCAGTGATCTTCCTTTACCCTCATGTTCCCCCTCTGCCTAATGAATAACCTCGCGGTAACTCTGTGTGGGGGATAAAATCCTTCCTGCCATGAGGTTTACTTAGCACTGAGACCTGGGCCAGGATCCAGAGTGAGACACAGATCTGGAACAGTAACTCAGGTTTCCCTTCTGCCCAGTGAGGTGCCCTGGATTCATTCTCCTCTGCTTTCCTGTCCTAGTTTGTAAGTTGTGTAGAGTCACTTTTTGTTGTGTTTGCACCTGTCTGTCCTGCTCAGGAACCTCATCTGTCATATACAGGAGCAATCGCAAAAATTGATTTGTGGGACACACATCTAACAGGCAGATCCGCTTGACAGATCACATAGCCATAATTTTCTGCATTTGCTTAAGAGTCAATCAGTGCTTTGATGCATATTTGGGTCATAAATAATCTGATGCAAATTAAATTTATTATTGTGACAGCTTTATTCAGCTATCTATTATTTATTAGGTTCTGTTGTCCCTTTGTTTACTCCTTTGTGGAGCTGTGAATTCAGCTCTTTACCTGTGAGAGAGCTCTCAGCTTGGTTCAGAAGAGAATTTGCCAACATCATGTTCCCCCAGGGACCCATGAGTAGCAAGGAAAATGTTATTTATTGGTGTGGAACTGGGAGATGTTGGGTGAGTTGGGAAGAGGATATTTGAATGCACGTAGGATCTCATCTTCTGCTTGTACGCAGATGCTGGAAGTAGATGTTAGGGGTGTGATCCAGAGTTCATTACAGCCAATAGAAAAAAGTTGCCCAAGGTTGTCCAGCAAGCCAGTGGCAGAGCTGGGAATACAATTCAGGTCTTGTGAGTCCCAGTCTTCTGTGGGCTTTGGATCAGGCCCTAAATGCCCCAGAGGTGGATTGATGAGGCTGTTCGGTACCTGAATCAAGTGAAATGCAGGGCTGAGGTTTCTTTGGATGCTTGCTTCAGTTTTTTCTATTTTGTTGTCTGAATAAAAATGGCAGACTTTCTGAATCTGGGATGAATGAATTACAGTGTGATTCCAAGCGAAAGGGTCACTCAACCTGGAACTGCAATCAGCACACTGCTACCTTCTAGAGTAGCAGCCGTGTTAGTCTGTATCCTCAAAAAGAAAAGGAGGACTTGTGGCACCTTAGAGACTAACAAATTTATTAGAGCATAAGCTTTCGTGAGCTACACATGAAAGTGTGTTTTCATGTACTATAGCAATGTAGGAGTAGCGGTGCCTGATAATCCTAGTAGCTACAGGTCTTATTCTGCTCTCCTTTTATGGAGCTGGCATGGCCTAGTGGATAGAGCAGTGGACTGGGAGACCTGAGTTCTATTCCTGGCTATGGCCTGCTGGGTGATGTTGGGCAAACCATGACCCTGCTCATGCTTCTGTTTCCTCATCTGTAAAATGGGGATAATGATCCTGACTTCCCTTTGTAAAGCACTTTGTGATCTACTGGTGAAAAGAGCTTATTCCAGTAAAAATAGAACATTTCACTGGGAGTTCTGCTTGTGCAGGGACTGCCAAACTAGGCTCCATGTATCCAGTGTGAGATTTTGTATATTGTCCATATAGCAGAGTTGTGGCTTGTCACTACAAGTGAAACAACTCTGGAACATGGGTATAATCTTGCACTTCTATTTATTTTTTATCTAGGTTTTCTATCTTTGAATTACTCCTTCATTTTATTTACATACATGATACATGTTTGCGTTGTGATGTTGCTTACTACAGGAAATATAAAAAGTTGAGATAAAATATAAAGTACCATTGTATGGGATTGCAAAATATGGAGTTTGACTGACATACATGTATTGTTTTATTTGAAGGTTTTGGAATTTTAGTATGTAAAAAGATACACATATATCTTCTAAAACAGCTTCCCAGGGTCCAGCATTACACACATTTTTTAGGATATTATCTCCTATTACCATGAAAATCCCTTAATTACTTTGTTTAAACACACATTTCATCAGAAGGAGTACTTGTACTTTGCTCCACAGTCTCCTTTTAGCATTTTAAAAATAGAACGCTACAAATAAACAATGCCAGAAACCCACCTTGCCTGCCAGGAGCCACCCAATAATTAATATGATTTTATAACCCTTAATACATATTTCCAGTCTCTCTAATTTGCCACCAGACCATACCGAGTTTCTGTCAGCTCAAGGAATACATGGGCCTTGCAGCATGCTCTGGACGTCAATAAACTAGGGTCTTTTAACAGTGTTTCTCAACAACTGGTCCATGAGGTCTCCCTGATACAGTTTAGGAAGGCAGCAAGGCGGTCCCTGGTATCCAAAAGGTTGAGAAACACTGTGTTAGAAGAATTGTACTGGTGTGCCTACAATGATGTAAAAATCACTGTAGTTGCACCAGTGCAAATCCTGAATATAGACACATGCTGGTTTAAACCTTGCTTGTATAGATTTTAACATAAGTCTCTTTACTAGCCAAATTGACACAAGCAGTGTGTAAACTAGTTTAAGTGCACCTACATTAGGTGTATATAGTGGTGTCCCTAGATCTAACATGGGCAAGACCCAAGTACTATTTTGGAGCCGGGTGGAGGAATGAGCTCCCAAGCTGAGAAGTCCTGGCAGAGGATACTCTGCCAGCTGCCTCCTACCTTATTTGAGTGGTACCTCAGCTGACTGTAACTGAGTCAGAATGGCATGTGGAGAAAGGCAATCTTTCAGATAAAGAGGTCCCACACCATTTAGGGCCTTATAGGTCAAAACTATCCCCTGTAGTGGAATAGTTACTCCCTGGTGTATATCATGCTGGGTCAGGCAAAAATTTAAAGAAAAGTGACTTGAGGTCCTGGTGGGTGAACTGGAGGGTGGAGCCCTCTGTTGAGCCACACAGCAGGTGCAGTTAGGGGAATGGTAGTGAAAACACCTCTCACGCTGCCTCAGTGCTGCATTAAAAGGCTGCTACTAAGGGTGAGTCTCCATGGGGTGTTTCACCCAGGGTCTGTGCTGAGATGGACAGCATCTATACACTATATCTGAATGCTCTCAAACCTTTGTGTCCGCTTCTTGTTGAGGTTTGAGCAGAGGCTCTTGATTTATCCCGTCCTTGTTTCGTCCATCCCTCAATTGTAAGCTTGCAGCAGATCTGAGGGGTGTTAGTGTTGTAAAAGGTAACCCAAGTTCACTGGTCTGAATTTTCTCTGGTAATGAGAAGTCTGTTTGCTTATGGACACTATGCTTTCTGAAAGCCTATTGGGTTGCCTAACTTGGTAAGCAGGGCTGCAGAACATCTAATTAGGTGGAACTACTTTCCAGAGGGCTTGGCTTGAAGAAAATTAGTTTTCATATTTTTGCCTGATGTTTATTAAATGTCCCCCCTGCTTTTCTCCCCTCTGCAGTTTTCATCTGTAGTTTCATGGTGGCAGCACCTATATTTGGTTACCTTGGTGACCGCTTCAACAGGAAGATCATCCTCAGCTGTGGGATCTTCTTCTGGTCAGCTATCACCTTTTCAAGCTCCTTCATCACTGAGCAAGTAAGACCTGCGTGGGGTCCGGGATTATAAGCAAAGGCATTCCGCATAGTGTACTGAATGTAATGGGATCCTGTTCCAAACTCCCCACCACAGTGTATAGGGACGTGAGATGCCCCGTTGATGTATGTGTGGCATATCACATAGGGTATTGTGTAGTAAAGTATTTAATGTTTGTGGTCACATGTCTCTTTGAAAGCGAAGTGTGTTCTTCCCTGGTCATGTGAATTGCCTAAACATCCCAGGGGAAGCAGATACAGACACATGTTCAAATTGATGTGTAGGCTTTATTTTAAGGAAGAGTTTACAGAACCAAAAAAACCTATCCATAATTAAATATTGGTTCTTTTGCCCCCTCTTTGCACAAACCATGGTAAGTTATCATTAACTCTGCTTGAACAGATTATATAGAATGGCAAAATGCTGGGCAGATGGAGTTTAGAGACAGATTTTGAGTAACCACCCTGGCTCAGTTTCCCTGAAAGGCAGTGAAGGTGAATAATAGGACTTAGATTAGTACAGCGTCAGCTCCTTTCTCTATTAAATTATCTCTCTGGGAATTGATGATAGGATCCTCAGGCTCACCTAATTTTGGAAAGTCAAAGATAGCTTTCGATACGTTTCACAATGCTCCCAGTTTCAGCCTACAGTAAATGAGGCTATGTCAGTCTGTTTGTTTTCTTGCTTGTCAAGGATACTGCAAAACAACAAAGGCTTGGGAGTGCTTGAGAAAAGAATCCTCTCATTTAAATTATACCACAGAGGAAGCTTAATTGTTGCAGGTGGCAGCATTCCTGGAGAGATAAATCACAGCTAGGGGAGCCGCAGATGGATTTCCCTAGGGATCAGCCATTCATCCTCTTGGTTCAGCTGCATTCCAGAGGTTGCAGTGCTGTGGTCACACCCCAAGGATGACAAGCATGCTGTGCTGTTTTTAATACAGAGGTTGCCACCACCATCCGTGGAAGTGGTGGAAGTCACACCTGTGATTTGCTCACCTTGACATCCACTTGGATAGGATGGCATTTCTAAGCCCCCATAAATCATAGGGCCAAGCGTAGAAGTCTTTAGGGTAACGTCTACACTGCAAAGAAACACCCCCCGTGGAGCCACATCTCAGAGCCCAGGTGGCTCCATCTGCAGGGTTAAAAATAACGGTGTAGGTGTCCTGCTCGGGCTGGAGGCTGGGCTCCCAAGACCTTCTCTCCCCCCTCCCCCCCGCCCCCCATCAGAACCTGGGCTCCAGTTTGAGCAGGAACATCTGTGGTGCGATTTTGAGCCCAACAGCCCAAGCCCCTGCTGACCTGAGTCAATTGACCCGGGCTCTGAGACTCGGTGCTGCAGGTTTTTCATTGCAGTGTAGATATACTCTTCTATACCAGCAAATTGCTCTGGTTTAAAATCAGTTATGCCGCACTCTTAGTGGAAAGAGAACGCTTCCTATCTGGAATGACGTCAGGTTTCTTTTGGTTTTCTTTGGAAACATGCTGTGAAAGCAACTGTGGTTATAGGAAAAAGGTAGTTATTGTTGTCACCCCTCTGTTGTAAGCCACAGAGAACGTGGCAACAGAGTTAAGCCATTAAACCCTTCATGAAGAGCCAACAGGTGAAAGGCTTTCCTGTAGCTCAGTGTGGATGTGGGATTATTGTTAGTCTAAGAAAGAGAGAGTGCTGCCGTAAAACAAGGATACAACTCTAAATATCAAGTAACAGGAGAATATGTTCTGTGTACAGACTCATTCCTTCTGGATTGCAGACACCACTAGATGTGGGCCGAAACCAAAACCCTGGATCCAAACAACCCCAAATTCTGAAAAAGTTCTGGGTCATTTCTGATTCCCTGCCCAAGGTCCACTGTGATCTTCAGCTTTACCATAAACCTTTCTTGTAAGCCATGAGATCCACCTCAAGCGTAGACTCTACAGCCAGTGGGAGGACATTCTTTAACCAGTATATCAGAGGGCTGCAGCAACAGGACAGAGATCCTGGGTCATACTGAAAACAGTCCTGCTGCCACTTCTCTCTCCTGGCCAGGAATCTGAAATCTAACAGACGAGTCACACCAGCTTGCACAAGGTGACTCTTTGAAATAGCAATGACAAGAGGTCAGAGAAGAGGAAGTGCAGTTTTTATTTATACAGTAGCTTCCCAGCTTATGATCTTTGACTTCTAACGTTAGCTTAAGGAGAAAACACTCGTGGTTCTTAAAGAAGGGAGAGAAGTGATAGTGGGAGGGGATGGTGGTTTAAAATATAAATATCCCTTCACTGGTTTAAATAAAAGCAGCAGCGAATCTACTGTTAGCAGAGGAGGTTGCCCACGTTCATGTGGACATGAAAACACCCGTTGAGAAGCAGCAAGTTGGCACAGCCTGAGCCCATAGAAATACAGCATAGAAAACTCCTTTATGTGGTGACAGCAGAAATACTGAAGTAGGCAAGAAACAATAGCTATTCAGTGAAAATAGTAAATTGCCATTCTCTGTTCGGAAAGTGTTGACTGCATGGTGCATGCTACCACAATGTCATGAATAACACTACTAAGCACCTATCCCTGTGGTTACATGGTATTTACCATGTTAACTGTAAATACAAGGGGCGTGCCTTTCAGAGGTGCTGAGTACCTTACAGCTCCCATGAAAAATGAGGCCACTGGATTGTTAAAGGGCGTTTATGGGGTCTGCCTCATAAATATTGATTGCTGACTGAAAATTGGACATAAAGGAAGCAGTTAGCAAGCTCCTTATACATGGATAAATGTTCAGATCAGCCTCCGATCTGCCTCCACTTGTGCATGCCCAGAATCAGGGAGTCAAACTGGTGGTTATTTTGGTTTGATTCAGGTTCAGTGTGTTCAGGTTTAGTTCTGATTTTTTTTTTTTTCTTCAAATGGCTCGGTTATCAGTTTCAACCAGTTCAGATCAAATTTCGATCTCAGTGGAAGTAAACTCAAGAAGGAGAGCTGAAACTTAAAATTGAAACTATTTTGCTTTTTGGCCATTTATTTATGAACTTTAACTTTACATGAGTTTTCCTAGTGCTTTTGTGCTGTCAAATAAGCATAATTTTTTTTTTCTATGAACAGTTTGTTTGAGAAAACTAAAATAACATTTTCTAATGTTTATTCCTTGAGAGGATAAATCTGAGTTTGGTGCATGGGTCGTGCCTCAAGTGTGGGAACTGGAGGGAGGAGCTGCCCCTGGGGTTGGGGGTGGGTGGGAGGAGGGAATCTAAGGGGGAGAAGAGAAGGGCTGGGGAGCTGGGCTGGAAGAGTTGTTGTTAACTTCTGGGACCAGGAAGCGTTCCACCACTTCTGTCCTCCGGAGGGTGTCTCAGAGATGGTCCATCTATCTCTGGGGCCTCCTGCTGCCTCATGTGGTGTGCAGGCAGCTCCTAAGCTTCCTCGCTCCCTCCCTGCTCTTGTGACTGGCCTTGTTTTCTTCTCATTCTCATCTCATTATACCAGGGCAGGCCTCTCTGGTAGCCACCATGTACCTATTTGTTATTTTTGTTGTCTTGTTGAAAATAAGATCACAGTAGCGTTCTAAAATATTGCGCTTAAAAATGCCGGACCTTTATTTGAAGTGGTAACCCAGCCCCCCAGTTCAGTTCCGGTTGAGGTTCAGCAAGTAGGACAAAAGTATAGTTCAGGTTCGGTACTGGTTTAAACCGATTCGGTTTTGGTTCAACTCCCTGCCCAGAATTAAACAAGTCTGTACCTGTGCCTGTACTTTGCACGTGCAAACACCCAGTAAAAATTCAAGTCCTTTGTGCCTGGCCTTTAAGGAGTCCTGTCCCTGTGTATGTGCACGTCATAGCAGTTTCACCAGCAAACCATTTTTGGCGTTTTGGTGAGTATCTGAGGAAAACCCCTTCAGGGTCTTGGTGCAGACTCAGTAATGAAATGACAACATGCAGACTTAAAACCCTGAGTGAGCTGTCATGGGGCTCAAAGGCAAACGATTCATTCAGGTGCTTACTGCGCACAAGAGGCCCCACAGAGCTCCTCTACCAAAACATGGCTCCAGTCGTTATATTTTCATTCCACATGAAGAGGTGAATATTTCTCCAGCCCCCTTGCCCGACACCGTCATCACTGATTAATGACTATGGCAAAAGTCAAGTCTTCTTTTTAGATGGTGTTTTGATTAATCATAGGTGTGATTGCCCTATATATCTGGGGCTGATCCTCACTGGGCTGCCTTGCCTTATCGTGTTTCATCAAAAGGCCATATAAACCTGTGATTGCTCCATTGTTCTCTTTCTAAATAACTTCACCTTGAAGCCACTTAGTTATCAGGAGTAACCAGAATGTGCTGGATCTTCTGAGTGTTTGGATGTGGCTGCTGGGACCCCGTGATTGTCTCTGTTAGTCAGACTAATAGCTCTCATGGTTGCTTCATCTGTCCAGAGTTCTGTCTCTGGGGAAGCCTTGAAGAGTTGTATTTTTCCCCCTCTCGTGGTGGCCTCCCACACCTCCCTTCACACTAAGGTCCAGTAATCAGCTCTCTGGTGGGCAGACAGCTACGATTTCTTAAAGTGAGGAGGTGCATAGGCGTGGAAAGCTTGCAAAGTGCTTTCAGTATCTCACAGTGCTGTGATATTTCCCATACACATGGCTTGAGTAAAGCTCACCTCTCCTTAATGGTGGCTGTACTTCAGAGATGGGCAAAATTATCCCAGTGTGGTGTGTGTGTGTGTGTGTAGTTAAGCATTTGGGGCTCCTTCAGGATGAAAGGGGATTATGTATAAACGAGGCTCAACCCAGATAAGGTTGTGACAAAGCTGGTTGAATGGGGGAACAAGCTAAAACACCTGGAGGAGCAAACTTCTATTGATTCGAGGATTGTTTACCTGCCTTTTATTACTTAGCTTAGCACCCAAGAAGGATTTGCTGGATCACATCTACTTCTGGAGGCTCAGGTAGCACAGGGGCCACAAATTCTTTTTATAATCTGTGCCTGGCCCTGAGGCTGTGGACTGCTCTTCTGATATGAGGCTCAA